TTTTTTTTACTCATTTCTACCATTTCAAAAACCGTGATAAACTAACCATCGCTATTTGTATCTTTGATCAAATTTTGCAGATCGCAGCTCGCATGTATCACTTCAATTGTGCGGTTGTAAAGTGATTTTCTTAATAAAAATTTCAATGCAAATAAAAAATTTTTATAGTTGTGACTCTTTTGTATCCATACCCTCAAAATAACAACCATATACTCAAAACAACTTCGCACAATCGAACAACGATCGGGTGATTGTGTGAGCTGCGATCTGCAAAATTTCATCAAAGATACATCATTTTGCAAAAATAGCGATAAATCTCTTAAAACCAATGTAAGGGTGAATTGCATGTTTCTTACCATATGATATAAGACAATTGCTGAAGGCGTTACTACGGTGATTCGGTCATATTAATAATTAAAGGGAATTATCATATATTAGTTTTCTTATGTGCCCCTACATCGTACATAAGTATCGTAACTAACCTTGCCCAAGTTACATCTTTAAATAACTTTTACCTGATTAATAAAGATGAGATACTTAATATTATTATTATTAAGTATTTATCGGTTATACTAGACCTTTATTCGATTTGGCAGACTATTATTTAAGCCTTCTTGGGGCGCAATTCTCCGTAGTTTCGGAAATGTTGCTTTTGTCTCGTGACACTAATACTGTATACTGATAAGCCATTAATACATATCTTTTTCCCTACTTCATTGGCGTAATAAATAATTAAATATTATTAATTTAAATCTACTACAGAGGCAGGGACTAAAAACTTGTACGTATGTGGAACGTATGTACAGTTACAATAGTGGAGTGGGCTTGTTTTTATATTCAAAAAGGAATTACTATAAATTTAATTATATTTAACTAAACTCGGTAATAACGAGATCGGTCATCACACAAACAATAGTCCAACACTAAACTAATAATTGAATCACTCTTCGTCAGGGGCGCATGATCGATTTGATGCACTTGTATTCATAAGTGACGAGAGTGGAAAACCTGTAAATCATTATCATCGCAGTGATATGTACTCCTAATTCTTGGGTAGATATCACTGCAATGACAATGAGTTAAATGGTTTACAGGTTTTCCCTTCCCGTCATTCATATACTGTAAAAAAGTTTAATTTTTCATTATCAACTCTTAATATTTTTTAAATGCAGGAGTCTCATTAAATTTTCGTTAGACATTGTTTTAATTTTTGGTTTTTAATCTGACAGAGCCCTTCTAACAGTTTACTTGAGTCGATCACGTAGAATAATTTCGAGTAGTAGTTTTTCTTACTAACGTTATAACTCTGAGCTTTTAGAATACAGAAGTCAAGTTTACTAAGAGACAAAGGAGATCTTTCATCAGAAAAAATTTTTTTATTAATATCACTGAAAATTATATGTATCCTTTATTTATTGCATCTATCTAAAATCATAAAAAATCTTGATAATAATTTTCTATCATGTCATAACGCAGTGGATCAAGCTTTTCCCTTTCACAATGAGTAATCAATCTATTTGCCAAATTAATTCGGTTCATCAAATTTTATTTACTTGCGGCTTATGTGATTCATCATTACAGGTAGGTTTAATAAATATATATAGAATATGGAGCATAAGTATTATATTCCGTAACAATCAATGGTGTGTTAGTTCTGTTTGGATGAGAAATTTACACATTGCGATTTTCAAGGTTTGAATAATATTATCACTGGTTAGGATAGCAACGCATAATACAACATAGATTATTAATAACGTTTAGAAATATTTTAATTTTAATTTTTTTTTTTTTTTTTTTAGCACTTCTGCATTAATCTTGACTTGACATATGGTATTGACCATTAGTTATGGCCATTTAAGCAATGCTATATATCAATATCATGTAGAAATTATATCAAAATACTTCTACGTCATGAATATTAACAATACTAATAATACCATAACTTGAATTTGTATGGACAAATGATCAAGTTACCTTCTGTAATTTTTAGAATGATGAAAATCACGTATCGTATGTACAAATAACGCATTTATTGTTTTAATATATATAAAATGGCAGTCACCATATAAAATATGAATAATCAACATTTCACATATCTCGAGAGAGCTCTATCACCACGTCATATGATACTGTAAAAATTCATTTTTAGAATATGGGGTCTTTGCCTTGAAAATCAAGTTATGGAATATAGTAAATCATATGTCCCATACCTGGTTTTCAAGGCAAAGACCCCATATAAGCTAAAAACTCCATTAAACTTTCTTAATGAATAGTTTACCTCGAACAAGGCACGATGTATCTCAAGCAAGTCGCGTAAATCGTGGGCGTGACGTGACAGTTTTGTCATCTCGGACAAGGTACGTACATCGCTAATTACTATATCAGAGTAATATAATACTATCATCAGATTTTGCTTATCCGGACACAATTCGCTTATATTATTTACAAATGTTTGTCAATTTTTAAAGAAATTGTATTTTATTTATCAAGATGCTAACTTCTCTAAAAACTAATAAAAAAAGGAACTAGCAATTAACAACAATGCGTTCACATGGTACCACTGTAACATGTTCTATTACTTTCATAAAATCATCAACAAAACCCAAATATGTGTTTGCACCCACGTATTTCAAAGTCTTGTTTCGTATGCAGAAATCGATTAGTGCTTCGACATTTTTCGCATTATCAATGCTATTGACTAATAATTTTTTTAAAGGAGCATAGCAATTATTGAGCAAAATATCAATATGTGAATTTAAACATGAATTCCTTAAGTCAAGGTATTCCAGTGTTAACGGCAATATTTTTGCAAATTGTGTAATTCGTTCTTTGTCCGGTATTCCATTAACATGGCCCTCAGTAAACCATGAACATGTGAGAAATTGAAGTTTTTGTAAATTGCCAATAAGATCTAGGAGTTGCTTGGAAAACTCGATCTTTGAAATATCGAGATATGTAATGTTTGGACAGAAAGACTTAAGCGCTTTTATTAATAAGGATTGCTCTAAAAGCATTTCATCAGCTGACTCAAGCTTTAGTTGTTGTAGTGATGTGCCAAGCCTTTCAAAAATTAACGTTATTGTCGATGCATCAATCTCACAATCAACTATTTCTAAAGTACTGACGTTACAATCTAATATTTCTAACAGTCTCTCATAATCACAAAACCTGACACGAATAATTTCTAAATTTTTACAATTAATAAGCACATTGAACTCTGCATTATATTCGCAAGCTTCTATTATAACTTCTCTTAATGATTGTTTTTGATTCTCTAAAGCAGAAATAATGCCGTGGAATTTTTCTGCAAATGACCCATCAAAGATGAATCGTCTAAGTTGATCCTGTGATTTAATAATGCTTCTAAATGCATGAAATATTTGTGAATCATATTCAGAACTAAAATCGAAAAGTGTCAAATTACTAATATTCTTAGTAGTTTTTGCCAAGATTTTTAATAATGCAATAGCACTTTCGATGCTGCATTGTGGTATTTCACCAAAAGATAAATCTTGTAGTCGTGAGAAAAATAGCTCATTTCGTCCTAGTGAGCAGAAAATCTCTGGTTTAATTCCATTAATCTCGGCAAAATTAATATCTAGTTTATGTAAAGTGGCACCATTCTCAATAAATAATTCAAGTAATAAATTACTTATATGATGTATCAATGTATCATCATAATAAGAACGCTGGAATTCGACCCATTGTTGAACCTTAATTCCAAGATAAGATAAATCGAGAGTCTTTAAAAATCTTGCATAATTAAATAGTGTTTTTGAAAATTCAGCATTTATTCCACGTTCTTCTAAAATGAGTTTTTCATCATCAGCAAGAAATGAAAGATATTTAGAAATAAACATCGGCTCTTGCTTAAATGAAAATGTATCTTGCCAAAGAATAGGAATTGACATTTTGCACCAATGTCGGCTCACAAGTGTACAAGAGTATAAAGAATAAAATTCATTATTTAAATTTTTAAGAATATTTTCCATTAATTCGGGCATATCGCCCATAAATATTTTTGATGCCATGAATTACGTTAATGAGAAAAGGAGTTTTATGAAATTATGGAAATTGCCGATAAATAGAATTTTAGGTAACACATCCATCCCAATCAACTTAAGATCAGATGTAACGTGACGGTCAAAACAAACCAACACGTCACGTGTCAAAGTAAAAAACGTTACGCGTAAAATTAGAGCATTATGATTAGAACAATTTAGTTTGTATTAATAAATTTTTAAAAATAACATTTTGATTAAGTCGTAGAAGGCGGCTTCCTAATTAAAATTTAGAGTTATTTGCTTTTTTGCAAAAAAAAAAATGATTTCGTATTTTTACATTAATTTGAAATTTCGATTAATCAAAATAACAAAGGCAAAATAATTTTTGTGGGTGTACTAGGAATATTAGTTCTCGCATGAATCCAATAAAAAAAGCAAAAAAATATCAAAAATTTTTGCATCATTTTTGGCTGCAACAATTATTATTGATAGTTCAAGAAATCGTATTGATATTTTTTATATGCACAACTTAAATTTAGTAAATCTTTATTAAAGCAAGTTTATTTATACAATTTCCTGAGCAAGATAATTTTTAATAAGAATAAATAAATTTACTATAAAAAACAGTTATTTTCCTATTTGAGAAAAAAATCCGTGAATTAACCAAATTTGAATACGAGATGTTAAAAAAAATAAAAATATAAACTTCAAAATTTTGTTAAATTATGAGATGAAATAAACAGCTAAAAAATGGGAGCTAATTTGAAATTTAAATATTTAAAAAAAAATAAAAAAATGATATTTTAGCATCTACAAAATCATACTATCACTTTCAATTTGTTGATTTTTAAGTAGCTCATCATGGCTCCAATACCCGATATGTATTTTATAAATTTGTATGATTAAATAATTTACCTCTTTTTGGTCTGCTTGCGGAAAAAAATAAAAGTTTTCATGAAAATAGCTAACTGCACTAGCAATTTTAGAAAGAATTCCTTAACCTTGTTCAGTGTTACCGATAAACTTATTTTCAATATCAATTTCATCATGTTTTTTGTCTTCAAGAGACTCAAATACTTTTCTTTGATTTTGCAATGGAGCTTGAAAAGCGGCAAAGGTTTTGTTTAATTCTCTAGCATATTCGGGAGAATTATGATCAAGAGTTTGCTGGCTATTTTTTAAATCTTTATCGAACTTTTTACTTCTAACTTTCAATATTTCATTAAACCCAAACAAAATGTGTTGTAATCTTTCAGGACAATTAATTCCAATAGAGCTAATCCAGCGATAGAATTCTTGCTTAATTTCTTGAATAAAAGGAGGCTTACGTTTAAATGTATTTTTAAATCTAAGCAGAACAATTGGAAAACATTCTTCAGCGTCTTCTGGTCTATCAATAGTTCTTTTAATTTTATTATTAGGAAATTGCCTTCTTTCGTGCCAATCAAACTAATAACCAGCGATTTCAATATTTTTTCCAAGAATTCCATAGTATCTTAAAAGATTTCATAAGTTACTTATCTATCATAAGCAGTTACAGTCTCTTGCTTTTGCAAACGGAAAATGTGTACCAGGTTGGTGCGCCATGGTAGAGTAGCGATCCGGATAACTATATCCGGATTTGACGCAGATATTATTTAAACAGATATATCCGAATCCGATAATATCGGA